TGAGAATGAATTGTTATTGCAAAAAATAAAAATAATAAAAGAAATCTCATGGTATCTTGAACTCCTTGAGGCAAGGTATATTATTTGTTTTACTTATGTTATTTGTTTATTATGTGAGATACTTCATTCCATGTTAATTCCAGTAGTTGCCCACACCTTTACAAGATCTCTGTTATTTCTTCAGGCTCAGGCCTGCCAGAGGGTCTGGAATTGAAACCTTTAGTTGAAACAGATTCACTTTTATGAGAAAGACCCAGCAACAGTGGGAATAACAAACTGAAGGCCATTTGGCTCGGTTAGGTGAGGAAAGAGGAGAAAACTGATGCCAACATTGAATTGACAGATGGGATGGACTATTTTATGCCAGTCTAATAATCTCTCTTGGTGTCACTTTCTCCCTTTATGAAATAGAGCAGAGCACTTCTGACTTGCCTTACTGAACAATGGTGAAGCTAAACTAAAAAAAATATTTGTGAAACAATTTTCAAATACATCATTCTATCTGGATGTCAACTGGGAGATGTAATTATGATACCTAGATTGACTTTCCTACAAGTCTATGGCAGGGCTTTTGTCTTTGGAAGATGAGACCATAGACCGATTACCCAGACATTTGCTTTGAATAGTTTTTTTTTCTCTAGTGGGGATAGAATGCCTCTAAGCCACCCACATTCCTATTTGGTCTTCCTCTCCAACATTGGAGTGCATTTCCAGTGGCTGAAAGGGTAAGCTAAACCCTTACTCAGAGAAATAAAATGCACTGAATTTTCTGACACTTGTCTGTTAACAGCAAATTTTAACCAAATGAGACAAAGAAATTTAATAAAGCCTTCTAGTCAAATGCCTAATGAAATCTGATATAAACTCTTGAGAATCTACAGTACATAGGCACTTGAATACTTGAAAAGAGAAATGAGAATGTGAAAGTGTAAGCAAAAGCTGAAAGTCCATAGGCATCAGTAGCTTACCCTAAAAAGGTAACCCAAAAGGACAAAGATTGTTTTACTACTTGGGAGTCAGATAAAACTCATGCTCTGTAAAAGGATTTGGTGGTGCCCAGTGAAATGGTCGGCTCACTGATTTCATAGTACTACAGAAAATTTGAGTTGGAAGGCATTTCTTCAAAATCATTAGAGTTGACAAACTGAAGCTCTTCTGAACATATCTTTTAAGATAAACATTGTTCCAAAATCCCAAATCTATGGGATACATAAAGTATATTTATTGCAAGGCCTCAGAGGCAGGTTGCAGGTTGTGGTCAGCTTCATGCTGTAAGGATAGGAAAAGTATTTCTTCTTGATGTTTAGATGAAGATGACCATTTATCTAACACTCTCACCGACCTTCCTATTCCCATTAAATAATTTCTTTTAAGATACTGGAAAGGAATCAAACTCTAACTGATCTTTGAAAAACAGATTAGAAATACAGCAATTATTGCCTGGATAAGGAGACAAGAAATGTTTCTAACAATCAAGTCAATTTATTTACTTGCAAGAGGCTCACCTGTATGACAAGCACAGCTTGATGCTTTTGTAAAGTCCTCTAACTCTCTTCTAAAAGAAACTGTATTTAAGCAATCATCCATTTATACCATTTATACCGGCAGATAACTGCACACCAAGCAACACTTTGTACTTCTCTGAGAAAATTTGAAAGAAACAGATTTTCCTAAAATGGGATTTTAGTGATATTTTGGGTTAAACACAGTGCTTCTATTGTTTCTGCAATTTAGAGTCTTTACTACCAGTGAGCAAAGACAAGCAATGATTCCAAAGACTTTCACAAGGCAGATAATGCAGATGGTATTTCACACTCTTGCATGTGCCTTGTGAATAACTTCCATTGGGCTAATTAGTCAACTCTGTGCACTACACTGTTGAAAACTGGGCATATGAACAAGTAAGCTACCCCAAAATAAATAATACTTTTGAACTCAGGATGCATCAGGGAGGCATAATACCTGACTGAAAGACTGAGTTGCTCTGGACAGAAAATTGATAAAAAATGTAGGACTCTGAAACCAAAAACCTGGCTCTCACCTAGTGATTCCTTACTGTGGTTTTTCAATGTACATTTTGTATACACAGATTAATTTTGTTTTCTAAGTGTTTCCAAAGACCCTGGAAAACTAAGAATTAAGTTCTCCCCATTCCTCAGAAACTCTTCCCCAAGCTCAACAGCTATTACTTGAAAATCTATCACACAGTGGCCTTCATCATCTATGCCAACAGATGTGAAGATGCCCAGAGGTCTTCAGATGTCTGAGCTACTGCGTCTCATGGGGGCAACAGGAAGGGGAGGGAAAATGGTTCTGGAATTCCAAAGGTCACTGCTGGATTGAAATAACGAAAATTGCCCACATGTTGAAAAAAAATCAGATGTGAGTACTGGAAAATCTGGCAATCAGACCAAGGAGCTTCCTGTGCCTAGAATTTCATTTATTTTTAAAAAGAGAGAGAGAGAGAAAGAAAAGGAAGGTGTGCCAGGGTGAGAGAGAAATAATTATTATGTTCTTCAGCCTTCAGGCTATCATAATTAACAGGTTCAAACATAAAATGGAAGAAATAGTTACCTTTACCAAAGGGGATAAAGTATGAACTATCACTTATACAAGCACTCATTTCTGAAAACAAGCTTAAGAAATTATTTTTTTAAACGTTTATTTATGTTTTGAGAGAGCAAGATACAGCATGAGTGAGGGAGGGTCAGAGAGAGAGGGAGTCACAGAATCTGAAACAGGCTCCACGCTCTGAGCTGTCAGCACAGAACCTGATGCGGGGCTCGAACACACGAACCGTGAGACACACGAACCGTGAGATCATGACCTGAGCTGAAACCAACTGCTCAACCGACTGAGCCACCCAGGCACCCCCCCTAAGAAATTATTTTAAGTGACTGAAGAAAGTAGGAGTTAGAGTAATTTCTTTTTATAACAAAGGAAGACTATGATATGTATTTGAATTATCTTTCAAGGCACTTACTGTGTTTGATAACCATTTCCTTACAATAATTTTATTCTAAGGACACCTTTTATTTCTAAAATCTCTCTCCTTACTCTTCCCTCAAAGGTGCTAGAACTCTGTGTGGTGATGGTAACATGGGTATATAAGTAAAAAGATGTAATTTCTGCATAAAATAAACTAGACAATTACATATCATGAATCTGCTTTGATCATTTTGGTCTAGGTTACTTACTAAGTGACCTAGAAGCATCATGGGGTAGAACCCATGGGGTTTGGAGGCTCAGTTGTAGGTTGGCTCCAGCTGTGTGATCTTGGATAAGTTTTCCTGTATTTATTTTTTCACCTAGCAAGCAAATATAGGCACTGGAGAAGTGACAGGCTCTGTGTGGGTATTGTAGTTACATAGAGATGGACATGCTACCCTCACGGAGCATTGAGGCAATTTTACTTCAGCATGCTCTGTTCCAGAATAGGAGCCTGATCTGGGGGACTCCCAAGAGGGGCTACTAAATGAGTGCTGAGGGTAGAATGCAGTGAGGAGGGAAGGTCAGGGACAGCTCTTCAGGAAATGTTAAGACTGAGACCAGAGGCCCAAGAAGGAGTTAGCTAGTGGAAGAGCAAGGAGCCACTGTGGAAAGAAAGCTCTGGACAAAGAAAATGGCATATGTGAAGACCCAAAGGCACTTGATGTGCAAATACTGTCTGGGTGGCCTTTTAACTTAACGTATGTGTTTTAAGAAGAAACATGCAAAGTTTTGTTTAGAACTAGAATCTTTGGAGACAAATGGCAGAGACGATAAAACTATGACTAGTGTCTGTTGTAGTCATCCATGGTTCAAATTCAGCTTTCCTCTTTTTAGTCCAAAGGCTTCATGGAAAAGTATACAGATGAGAAAGCCTAAGGCTTTGCTTACAGTGACAAGTGGGAACTTCTCAGATTACACCAGCACCCCTGAAGCTATGAGAATGCACAAACAGGCTTCCCCATGTATGATGCGTCTTCCAAAATAAACATATATTTTAGAGTGATGCTTCTAAAATTTTAATTTGCATAAAAATTATGTGGGGTTTTTGTTAGAATGCAGATTCTGATTCAGTATTTCTGGGCAGGCTGAGATTCTCTATTTGATGCTCCCAGTAATATCCCTGTGATTCAAGGACCTCACTTTAAATAAGACCTTTTAAGTAAGGTCTTAAAACACTTAAGGAAGGGCCAATTGAGGGAGATCAATATCCTCAAAGTTTCAGTGTTTTGAATCATTTACTTTAAAAATATAGTCTCTTATTCTCTTTCCCTGTCTCTGTATCTCTGTATCTCTCTCATACACATGCACAAGCACACACACTTACATACTTTAAGTTCATCCTGTTGACTATAAACATAAATGTGCAACAGTTGACCAACTAATAGAGAATGTAACAACTATTCTGCTCATTCTTATCAGTTTATAAATGGGTTAAACAATATCTTGTCCACCATAACCCTTTTTAATATTTGTAGACTTTTCTTTTTGTTCTAGTGTACTAGTGAAATGTCAGAGCAGAACACTTAAATATATGTTGCCCCCAAAATCTAAGAAAATCCACCTGGTGTTGTACCTTTCTCTTCATGGGGGGAAGATCAAGGTGCATCAGTATGTTTTCTTTTATTTAAAGTTTATTTATTTCTGAGAGAGAGAGAGAGAGAGAGAAACCATGAGTTCAGGGTGGGGGCAGAGAGAGAGGGAGAGAGAGAGAATCCCAACCAGGTTCTGTGCTGTCAGCACAGAGCCCAACATGGGGCCTGATCTCACAAACTGTGAAATCATGACCTGAACTGAAATCAAAAGTCGGACACTTAACCAACTGAGCCACCCAGGCTCTCTCCTCAGTATGTTTTTCTTTAGAAGAAATATCCTGAAACGATCCGGGACAGTGGACTCATAGAACCCCCCCCCCCCTCCCCGCCCGGCATTGGGGCAGGACCTTGAACTTTCATAGGTTTATTTCCCTCTCTCTGGCACACATGTCTTATTAAGGCATTTGAGATACTTGCTTTTTCCTAATCATAAGATCCAATTAGTATAATGTCATCAGATAAAAAGCTGGAGTGATGTTCTGTGGGATACCAGTTCAATCAAGGCCCCTGCAAGAATGATTTAGAGTTATCTATGGATTTTAAGCTATTACCCTTGCCTTGTTTGTTCAAATATCCCACCCAATCATCAGAGCCTCACTCCTTTCCAACTAGTCTCTCATTTTAGCAAATGAGACCTAGTGGCCTGGTTTATGGAAATTAAATCCAATTTCAACACTTATAATCAAGCTTTGGCCTCATTCTGGGCCAGGTCTGCCCTGCAGCTACATGAGATAAGGAAATAAGGCACCACAGAGGTTTTCTGATTCTCCACCAGTGCCTTGGGTTGGAAATTCAAGACTTTATGCTTATCTTCTTCTTTACTTATACTATCCAGAACAGACGTAAGTAGTCATTCCACCTCATCATCTCAGTAATCACTATTGTCACCTTAGCACGTATGTGCCACAGCCACTTTATCTGCCAGTTCCTTGATCTCTACCTTGATTCAATGCCACCTCTGGTGATAATCTGAGTGACCATGATGCCACTGTATGCCATGTTTTCTATCCCTCTGGCCTTCTATGGACTCTTCAAATAGAAACAACTCAATCTCAGAATCCTATTTTGAGGGTCTATTTGTTATGCCCTATAGCTTGTACCAATTACTGCTTCAGTCAGAGTCCCAGCAGTAAGCACGGCATACTCCTAAGGTCTAACAATAATTTAAAACAAGACTAATCAGGTTGTCAGAGATGCCCATCAATCTGTGCTGGCTGGAAAGAGCCTATATTTTCTTTTTTAACTATATAGTATTATCTTTCACAGGTAATTTTTATAAACCACCTAAAATTCAACTTATATGTTATAAAGATTTTTTCCCCATAGAATAGGCCAGTTTGCCATCAACCTTCCTAAAAATCCATTACTTTTCTACTGATTTGTGATGCCACTTTTATCATATATCAAATTCCCACATATGCATATGTCTGTTTCTAGACTCTGTATTTTATTCCATTGGTCTATTTTTCTGTTGCATTTATTATTCAGGCTATGTAGTATGCCTGAATATCTGGTAGGCAATTCATCCATGTACATGTCAGATTCAGTTTATTAAGTTCTTTAAACAACACACCATACTAAATTACCAATTGATGATTTTAAATTGTCATCTAGGGAAGGTGAATCTGGTTATCTTCAGGACTTCTGTTTTGCTAAGCAAGGTGTACAAGTCAAATATAAGCTGAATTACTCATTTGCCACATGTGAGTTTCCTTCTTTACCCTTTTCCACACAGTGCTCCATCTCTTCTCTCAATAAATATTGACTATGGGCTGAATTATTCCCCATCCCCACAAAATTTGTAAGTTGAAGTCCTAACCCTCAGAACCCAAGAATGTGGTATATCTGGAGATAGGGGCTTTAAAAAAGGTAATTAAGTTAAAATTATGTCATTAAGGTGGGTTTTAATTAAATATTACTGGTGTCCTTTTAAGAAAAGTAATTTTAAACACAGATGTGCAGAACGAAGAAGTGTAAAAAAACAGGGAGAAGTTGGCCATCTATGAATCATGGAAAAGAGCCCCAAAAGAAACCTTCCCTGCTGATGTCTTAATCTTGGATTTCTAGTCTCTAGAACCGTGAGAAAATAAATTTCTGTTTTTTAATTCATCCAGGCTGTGGTACTTTGTTATGGTAGCCCTAGCAAACTAATGTAATTAGATATTGAAAGAATATTGACTTAAAGGAGTGTAATCAATGTTAGCCTAGTGTTCTTGCTCTGTCTAATCTATGTCTTCAGTTTTAGCCATTTATTCCTGTATTTTTAATCAATTGTATTTTTGCCATTCCTCCATATCTATCTGGCACCTGGAGCTCAAATGCTCCAAATCTAGGTCATGATATATTTCTTCAATTCTGCTAATATTTGGTGGTCTCTATTTTACATAATGGCTATAGAGAGAGCTAGGAGTCAACCTAGACTTCTACTTCTACCCTTCTGTGCATCCTTTTGAATATATCTCAAGAGTTAGTTTATCCTGATTACTTCAATCTTGGAAATCTTTCTTGCCCCCTGACCCCTTCCTATCCCAGTTACCATTGTGCTGGGTAAGGCCTTAATTATTTTTTGCCTGGGCATTGCTGAAGATATACAGTCAGTCTCTTCAACTTCATTCTCTCCATTTCTCAATGGAGATGTCCCAATATCTTCTAAAACATGTCTGATCATGTGACCTAACCCTTTCAAAATTCCATTATTTAAATGAAAAAGTTCTAATTCCTTAGCAAGGCATTCAAAACCTTTAATAATGTAGATAATTTACCAGTTCAACTTATTACCACATCTCCTTTTTGCCAAGTACCTTCTATTTCTGCCACATCAATCTATTTATACTTCCTTCAATATGAAACATATTCTCACAGCTTCATGTTTTTGGTCATGTTAGCCTCTTCCTTCAATGTCTTTCACTCCCTATGTTATTTTAAGACACCACACATCCTTTGAGGCCCACATAAATTAGTATTTTCTTCAGGAAACTGTCCTTGGTATTTTCAGTTGTGATTGACAGTTTCATACTTCACACTCCCAGCTGTACTTTTCGAATCCATTTCTTTCATATTTATCACATTTTATTTTAGTTTGGTATCCTTGGCCTTCTCCTGGAGAGGGAAAGCTCTGTGGAGTCAGGGGCAATATTTTGTCCATTTTCTATACCCACCCAATATACAGCATAGAGCTTTGTACATTATAGGTGATCTATAAACATTTGAGTGAGTAAAGAGAGTTTGCCAGATATCAATTCTATAAGAGTTTAGAATTTGGAAGCATGTCATCATTTAGTTAATTTCAATCAATTTATTTTGTGGAAAATATGGCTTACTCATTCACAGACCCAAAATATTAAAAGGCTCATTTCATTTTTGGCTATAAAGTAACTCTTAGAAAATATTAAGAAAAATAAAGTGGAAATTAATCAGTGAAGAGAAAATTAAATTTTCATTGAAATGTCCTCAGAATTAAAATTGAGAGAACAATTCAAAAGGCAAAAATGTAATTGCATTTGCCAAACTCCAAAGTATTTTTAGTAATATTTTATGGTGATTGCCAGTCTTATTAGGGCTCAGACACAGACTATGGAAGGAGCAGAACCACTTTTTCTGAATCTAGAGGAAGAGCTATTTGGAATTGAAAGTGGCCTTACAATTTGAGAGACTATATAGCAAAACATACAGCATTTGAGAAGTGGCCAACATTAAATAGACCCAAACCTTTCATTATCTTTACCCTCTTCTCCAATTATTTTTGAAAGCAAGTCTGGTGTAAGTACCATTTACTGCTTGGACAGAATGCTGTGGAGTCATGGCCTAACCCATTAAACACTTCCAAGTTGAGGGATCCTTATGCCTTAGATTTTATTGTTGTATTTTTATTTCTTATTTTTGTTTGTTTGTTCGTTCGTTTCTGATCCCATCTCATATTGTAGAGTCCAATTAGTGTTGGCAAAAACAAATGCTGTTTAATTTAAAAATCTTATATGACTATAGTGTTTGCTTTTAAAGGACTCCCCAGTGGTGCCTATAGAGCTCTGGATCATCAGAATCCCAGATTTTTAAAAAGCTACTTAATAACTTAATTCAGCCTTATGGAGGAAACAAATATGTGTATTTTGCTCTGACAGAATGAGGTCTGAGCATCTCTACTCCCTAGTAGTTGATAAGGCAACTCTTCACTAGATTTCTTAAATATCAACAGGGACAATCTCTTTTAGTCATGGTTAGAGGAAGTCCAACAGAAAATTTCATAAGAAAAAGTAAAATATTTGACATCTACTTACTCAGACATAATGCTCTCCATAGATTTGGATTCCATTTTTCCACCCGAGTTTATACTGACTGTAGAATGAATAAGAAAATCCAAATAATGCTATAATCTCACATGATCATCATAACAGCCCGATAGGGTAGATATTGGGTAAAAACCATATGAAATTGCTATTTGTATAAGTAAAAAATGATTGACATCAGCAATTTCATATGGTTTAAACTTTGTTATTAATATCTCCATTTCACAGATGAAAAGTCTGATGTTTAGAGGTCAAGTAGTGTACTGAATATCACACTGCTGTTAAGTTGCAAAGCCAGACCCAGAACCTAGAAACGGAGGTATGTCTGCCTCCAAAGCTTTGTTCTTCTCCTCCAGGCAGTACTGCCAGGTAAGGAATGCAATTACGCTAAGTGACAAAGACGCATACCTCACCCTCTGGCCCCACTCATTGACACAGCAGAAAGATGGGTAGCATTTCTTTGTTGTAGTATATTTATGACTCATAAAGACAGATCCAGACTTGTGCAAGTATATACATTCTAGTTTCCTCCCATATGAGCTTTAACTGTGTTAAATAAACAATGGTGTTACAGATCTTGATCCATGGGGATAAAATTGCTTAAGATATGGACGGTTGTGGTTTTGAAATATGTAATGTTTTAAGTCACCAAGGCTGTGACTGGCTGAAAGGTTTGCACACTGCCTTCGTGTTGTCTCATATGTTTTTCTTCTTAGGTTAGAAACTGCTCAAGCATAGCTACCCTTTTCCCTTCTCAGTCAGCCTAAATAAATGATTACTGACCTTTAGGACAATGGTATAAAGCTGGAAATGGTGGTGGCCCAACTACAGACAAAGGATATTGCTGCCTAGATAGAGCAGCTCAATGAAAAAAAGTTATATGCACATACTCCTTCTTTGAGTGAGGCCCATTGTATACTTCATTTCAGTAGTTTTACTTTCCTTTTTGGTGGGTTTCTTATTAATTCGGTTCTCTTTTAGTTTGGCAGCCTTGTAGCTACAGTCAATTCTCTCCACTCTTGCCCCAGGCCTACTAGAATAAGGGCAATTGATTTATGCATTAAAAGTCTGATAGTATATAGAAGGTTATTCATTGAGAACTAAGGGGCCTTTAAATAGTGGTGGTCATGCAAATTAGTGTGATTGCTGGCCCAGGTCCTGAAAGAAATTAAGTTGAACTGAATAGAAACCAAACTATGAGAAAGTCTGATTTTAAATAAGGTTTGAAAATATACATTTTCATTCTGGTACCAGATTTTTTTTCACATCACTATCATAAATTCTAACAGTTGGATGAAATTAATCAATGTGTATAATATGGCTATAGCGATTGGTGGGGGGGACAAGTTTCTGGTAATAGCATTGTTGGCAGAAAAAAGATCGAAGTTTCCAGTTTTACCTTCACTGTTTTTAGACAACAAATGATTCTGATATATACTTTTATTACTATTTTTTTAATTCTCTCATACCTGCTTCCCTCATCCCTGAGATCAAGAGAAGGAGCAATGAATGGAAGCTTTCTCTGGAGCCAGGATTCCTTTGACTTTGACTCTCTGTGCTAGTATGGTCAGAGTTTTGTTTTCTTTTTTTAACTGATGTATATTTGACATATAACATTGCGTAAATTTAAGATGTACAACATTTTGATTTGATAAATTTATATATTGCAATATGATTGCCATTGCAGTGTTAGTTGGCACTTCTATCAGGTCACATACCATTATTTCTTTTTCTCTGGAGGAAATAAATACAATCTAGCCTCCTAGCAAGTTTGATGATTATAATACAATATTGTTGTCTATTTTCACTATACTGCACATTTCATCTCCAGGACTTATTTATCTACTACTGTAAGTTGTGACTGGAATTATTTTGAAAGGTGCAGTGGATTGTTTCCCTTAAAATTGGTCTTTCTCTGTCTTTGGCTGTTCTGTTCTGCCCCACCTCTTCCAACAATGGATACCTTGGGCAATTGACAGGGCGAAGCCAGAGAAGTTCTGGACTTGTGCTGTGAATAACAGGAAGTGGTGCAAGATATCTTTGTCTAATTCCTCTGGAGTCCCACCTCCCTCCATTAATTTCCTTGTCCTAATTCTACTTGGCAGTCACTGCCCAGCATCTCAAAGAGATGAACTGAATTTAGTGGGACTTCCCTAAATCTCAGAGTCATGGTATTGTTAACTCTCATGAATCTACTTCCACTTTATATAAAACCTTTATTCTCACATTTAGGATTAAAGTCATAAATAATATCAAGACAATATGTTAAATCAGCTATGGAGGGTGTGGAAAAAAGACACAAAGCTCTTAGTAGATGTATGTCTTCCTTAAATTGACTTTTAAATTCTGAAATACATACAGAAGAGTGTATATAATATAAATATATGGTATAAATCACAAAATGAACAGCAATGTGCTCTCCATCCTGCTTGAGAAATAGAACATAACAATATCTCTGAATTTCCCTGTCGTGCCTTTCAGAGGCAACCACTATCCTGAGAATTGTGTTATAATTTCTTTACTTTTCTTTATGGTTATCCCACATATGTATGTATCCTTAAATAAGAAATCACTTAATTTTGTGAACTTCTGAACTCTATATAATCTGAATTATATTTATATGTATACTTTCATGACTTACTTTTTGTGCTCAACCTGAGTTTCATGCATTTTTGTTGTTATATAATGTTCTACTATTTGATCTTAATTTTTATATTCATTCTCCTGTTGATGGATATCTGGGTTATTAAATTATATATTTATATCAATATGTTAATACTACATTAAGATATTAAATAGAAAATACCTAAGCAAAATATTTTCAGATTTCCTTTCTGCCTGAAATGGCTATCCGTAATTGCTAGTCAAGATTTTTCAACTATAATCTCTTAAAATTCTTGATAATTATTATCAGCAAGAAACTTCATCATAAATCTGGTGATAGAGACTTCTTTTTTTAATTTTATTTTTTAATTTTATTTTTGCTTTTTTAAAAATAGTTTATTGTCAAGTTGGTTTCCATATAACACCCAGTGCTCACGTGATAGACTTCTAAACATTTTTACAACAATCTCAAAGAATTTGTTAGCTATCATTTTCTTTCATTAACAAATGTAATATTAGGGTTCTTGCTATTTTGTGGCAGTATAAAGGGATTTCTAATTTAGTTGAGCTTTTCTCAGATTTGTAGATTGTTCAGGTATTCTCATCATAGTTGTCACTTTGAAAGAATACTAATGATGTGTTGCTAAAAGACACATCAGCCACAGACATACAGAAATATCCTCTGTAGTCAGTTGAATATGTGTCCTCCCAAAATCTATGCCTACCAGGGATCTTATAATGAACTTGTTTGGAAATAGGGTCTTTGTAAATATAATTAATCAAGATGAGGTCATCCAGGATGAGTGTAGGCAGTAAAACCAACGACTGGTGTCTTGATAGGGAGAGGACACAGAGAGACACACAGACAAACAGAGAAGGCCATGTGGCCACAAAGGTAAAGATTAGAGCAGTACAGCTACAAGCCAAAGTATGCTAAGGATTACCAGAAGCAGCCAAAAGCTAAGAAGAGGCAAAGAAGGATTCTTCCCTAGAGTCTTTCAAGGGAGCATGGCCCTATTAACACCTTGATTCAGACTTCTAGACTCTAGAACTGTAAGAGAATAAATTTCTGTTGTTTTAAGCTACCTAGTTTCTGATAATTTATGGTAGCCCTGGGAAACTAAAAAATACTCTCTGTGAATGAAGATAAATGAGATGTACTTCATGGAGTTCTGTCTTCTAGGAGACACTCCCTGGTTTCCTAGCTTTGATACACTCAAGTAGCTGCATCTTGGTTTGTATGCAATGCTCCTTAGGCACCAGGATCCTGACCTCACCTGCAACCTCCACAAGCTGAATTGCTGTCCACAGTGGTCCACCTGCAGGTGGCTAATTGAATGGGTGTCTGGTTGTAGAGCTCCTCTTAGGCCATACTCAGTGAGTCCAGGCAGTTGTAAGAGCAGGGTGACATTGATAGGGTCTATTTTCTGCAAGGACTGTGACACTACTACTCACTGTGCATGAGCAGTTCTCCTTGGAGTTCTGGAAAAGGCTGAATCCACATGGATGTGATTAGTCTGGTGGAAGTTCTCAGTGCCTCAGGTCCAGCTGATCACCCCAAGGTCCTGACAGTATCTTCATACTGGTTAGGAAGCTCAGCTCTCATCCAGCAAGCCCTAGTATATAACTGTAGAACAAAAGTGGCTTCCAGTGCTTGTTTACCTCTATGGGTTCTTGTTTTCTTGTTTTTGGTCTCTGAAGAAATCCCTCACTTTTTAACACTTTGCTAGAGATTTTAAACATTTTAAATATTTTATTCAACATATTAACTTGTGCTCTACAGGGATATTTTCTATGAACAGTTAGTCTGTCATTTGGGGGGGACTAGAACAAAGCTGACTTTTCTTTTATTCCAATCTAGGTCTTCGTGTGTTGCTGTTCCCAGTTGTAGTATGTTGGTATATCCTGCTTATGAAATCCACTTGTGGAAGCGTAGGAAGCTTATTCCTTTGACTTATCATAAGCTTATAATGACTACATTTTCAGGACCTTAAATCAGAATATATGATCTAAAAATAGGACTATGTATTAATGGACAAAAGGATAGAAAATCTTGGAAATGTAAACTCTCAGGGAACAATTCTACATGCTTGTCAGCCATACAATAATTTCTTGGTAAATGTTGGCTATCAGTGTTACTATTATGGTTGTTGTTACCTATACCAGGATAGCTTTAGGTAAAACCAGTAGGAAAAAAAAGTTGGTTTGTCATCTTCTCTTTCTCTTGTTATGTGATGTCCCCTCTCTTAGGTCACTGAGCCTCCCAGTGAGATCCAATTCTTGGTACTATCCTTCATGCAATGATCCAGTTCTGTACCTTCATCTTTCCCCTCCTACTTCATCCTATTTTGGTTAAAATATAAGTGCTCATGCCTCATGTCCACTAGCCCTCTTCCTTCTAAACTAATCTGAAATCAATGAAAGCCAAGTCTACTTAATGCTAACTG